ATTATAAAAATATTTATTACATAAAGTAAATAAAAAAACAGGACCCCTTTTTTAAAAACCTGACCACTGTCCAAGTGGTGGCTATGACCTTATAATGTATGCAACACTTACGCAACACTTCAAGCACAGTGTCCTGTTTAATCTGTCCAGCATCATTATATGCAATACAGCTAATAGTCCCTGCCATTCTCCAGTTAATAGGATTAAGAACAAGGGTACTTTCTGTCCTTTGATATTTTTCATTTGCTGGGCTGACTGTGCTGAAGGTGACCACTGAACCAAGGTATGTTGTGTTCTCTGTAACATTATTCTCATTATTAATGGTCCATAACACTTGAGCTGCAGGTTTGGCATCTGCTGTACAGGTGTAGTTTATGGTCTCATTTTCAGCTTTCACTTGCTTGGTAGTTGGAAGAAATGAAATAAAAGATGGAGAAACTAGAAGAAAAAGGAAAAAAAGTGATGAAAGTAAATCACAAAGTTAACCTTTAGTCAGGGACCACACAGCAAATTTTAAATTCTTCAGTTTCAAGTTCAGGGTTAGTTTTGATTTTGTGACGGTTCATGGAATTTCATCCTGATTAGCATCAACTTAAAACTAAATATCTCTCAGACCAAAAATGCAAAAGTGCCAGATTTCTTTTTTTGTAAAGTACTTTAACATGTGTTTAGATAGTAAAGACTGGAGACATTCATATTTCATCGTGGTAGAAATTTAACATTTTTCATTCTTTATATTATGTCATATAGGATTTGTTTGTTTGTTTTATCCTGTAATCTTCAATTAATTTCATTAAAGTAAGCTTAAATGTTTACACCAAAACCTTCTTCACTTTTCTTTACTTCCTTCAAAGGAGGCACAAATATAGGGTATCTTTCCCTGGGAAACTGAATTCTTTCATGTAAATCAGATTAGACAATATTCAATATTATTGTTTCTGCCTCCTGTCGTGACTGGCCATCGTGTAATGGTACAAAGCCTCTTTTAAAAAAATGGGGGAGGAACTGCAGAACTTACCCAGTACAGTTATACGACCCTCAGTCTCTGGTCCTTGTCCCATCATGTTGTATGGTGTACAAGTAAACTTTATTTCTTCATCATCAAGTTTTACTGATGAGAATGAGTAAATGCCTTGTTGTCCAGATACCTTAACACCATCTTTCTTAAGAATGTATTGTGGAGGAGGATAGCCATCAGCTTTACATGCTAATGTCACTGGAGAGCCCTTCACAGCTCCAGTGTTTGGCATCCCTGTGCTGAATATAGCTTGTGTTGGCTTAACTGCAAATAAGAAGATAAAAGAATTCATAGATAAAACAAGTAATAGGGAAACTGAAAACGACTTTTTAAAACTATTCTTCACAGAACTGCCAAGCACTCTAGGGTAATCCATGAACATAAAGCTGTATAGAGATTTTCATGTGACGTCATGGCAGCCATGTTTGAGGGCAAATCAGCATAAGAAATTTTCTCCTTTGGGAAATAAATTCTCTTGCATGCAAAAATATTGCATTTATCCTGACCAGAAACTTTGCAGCTGTGAATAACCTCTATTGTGTAGAGTGAATGGAATTCCTTTAGAATACCCTGCAAATCATATCACTGCAGTTATATATAGGAACTCTTTGAAGAACGTACAAGCCGTACAACTATAGAAGTCTCTGGAGGTAACGGTGAGAGCGCTCGCCTCTCACCAATGTGACCTGGGTTCAAGTACAGCCAAGCTTGGTGTCGTATGAGGGCCACTAGAGTTTATTAGTTATTTTGTAACTACTGTATTCCGTGTAAAGAGTTTATTGTTATTATTAAGTAGAGTTGCTTGTTTGTTCTCTGATTTGCTTTGAGGGTTTTCTGGGTTCATAAGTTAATTCTTATTCAAACATTATGCATATTATTCATGGGTTGTTTTAAAGTTACACCATGCAGGCCTTCATCAAAGGTCCCTAAAAAAGGAACATCATATATTTAAAATGTGATCAACTTACATCTTGTGTAAAGAATTTGAGTGTCCTCCTTGCTGCCATGAGCATTCTTTGCAAGACAGGTGTAGTTTCCTCCTTGTTCCTTAGTGATACTAGGT